ATGTCTTGATCTTTTTATTTCCCATCTATGTGTATCCAAACAGTGACGTATCATATTGTTGGCTCATTCCACAGAATTCATGATTTATCTAGCATTCTGTCCTTCCATACAGTTGACCTTTGAACAACATAGGTTAGAACAGCACAGATCCTTATATGCGGGTTATCTTTTTTCTTTTTAATAAATACAGTATAGTACTATGAAAGTAGTTTCTCCTTCTGATTTTTGAAAGAACATTTTCTATAGCTTTATTGTAAGGATGTAGTATATAATACGTATACAGAGTATGTGTTAATCGGATGTGTCATCAGTGAGGCTTCTGGTCAACAGTGGGCTATTAATAGTTAAGTTTCAGGGGAGTCAAAAATTATATGCAGATTGTCACCTGCACAGGACGTGGAGGGGTGCCAGCACCCCTGACCCCCATGTTGCTCAGAGGTCCACTGTATCTGTAGCTCCTCTCCCCAAGAATGAGAAGCTTGACTCCCATTCTCCACAATATATTTATTTGCTCAGTCCCCTAGAATATACCAAAGGGGTTTAAAAATTGGTAACTCCTATCTCTGTAAAAAATAAAAACCTAGTAGTTCAGTATTTGTTTATAGTTCCTTTTTGTCTTTAGCCTGAGGATAATATAATCAAAAATCTGTGTTCGAAGTTACCTCTTTTCAGTGTGGTTATATTATTATTTGAAATATAAGCTAGATTATTTTTTACTCCATTTTAGAGGTCCCCTCCCATTCTTAACCGATTTTGTTTTTGCAGGGGTTGGAGGCTGTTGGTGTGGTTTTGAGTGTATGAAATGTTAACCTAGCTCCTTAAGTCAGAAGTGTATACAGACTGGTACTTGCCCACCATTCCCATGTGTCCCGTCCCCCTCCTCATCCTTTCCACCCACCCTGTGAGTGACCAGTCTCTTTGCTTCTGCTTCCTCCTTCCTGTGTTTCTTTTTACACAGATGAACAGCCCCACATGCATGTTGTTTCCCCTTCTTTCTTGCAAGGAAAAGTAGGATGCTGTGCTACCTTTTCTGTGTCTGTCTGACCTTTGCACCTTGCTTTCTTCAATTAACAGTGTATCAGGGATACCATCCCATGCTGCTCTGTAGAATCTTCCTCTCATTGTATTGTATTGTATTGTATTGTATTGAGAGAGAGAGAGAGGGAGAGAGAATTTTAAGCAGGCTCCACACGCGGCACAGAGCCTGAGGCGGGCTCCATCTCATGACCATAAGATCATGGCCTGAGCCAAAATCAAGAGTTAGACTCTCAACCAGCTGAGCCACCCAGGAGCCCCTCTTCCTCATTTTTTAAACAGCTGCTTCGTATCCTATCGAGTGGATATACCGTGGTTTTCTCAGACACTCCTATATATGGGTGTTTAGGCTTCTAGTAGTTTACAGTTACAAATAATACTATAGTGCCTAACCTTATGCAAGTATGTTTTTTATTTTTATTTTTTAACGTTTCTTTATTCTTGAGAGAGAGACGAGAGCGCGCGCAAGCCCAAGGGCATGAATGGGGGAGGTGGGGGGGGGGGGGACACAGAATCTGAAGCAAGCTCCAGGCTCCAAGC